TTAGTGGATGGTGCATCCGCCTAATACCGAGACGCCACCTCCGTGGGTGACCAACACACCTCGTGGGCGTTTGGGGAGCCACCCGTTGAGGTGGCTCAAGCTGATAGGGCGGTATGACCGTCCTATTGAAGTTTCTTTCCTACAAAAGGCTTAAACCTCAAGGAGTAGAACCTAATCAACTTATTTAGAGTTAATTGAAGACAAACTTTCTGAAAGTTTTTTGTATAATTAAAAGTCTTTAAAAAATGTTGGTGTAACTTTCTCGAAAGGCTCTTTTAAAAGAATCAAAAACAAAATCAATGATATGCCAAATGGACCATTGGGGATATTGACTTTAATTGCTCCAATCAACCTCCATTTGAGATGTACAAGGATTGGTTTGATACAATATTGAAAGTCTTTTTCCAGTGACATAACCTTAAGCAAAATTTTGACAATTGTACTTGAACTTCCACTAATTTATATTATATATAATTGGGGTTGAGTCTCTTTCAATAATATAATATTTATATCAATAATCTAACTGCATAATATGAAATTTTTTTTCTTCCTCCAATTTACAATAATATATATATGCCGTGGAACTGAAGAAAGAACAAAGAAAGCGTGAGAAAACAAAATTTAAGCACTTCATATGAATATATTTCAAAAGATATTCTAAATATTGCTGATTGAAAGAATGCGACTAATCATTTTATAAAACTAAATATTCAAAACAATATAAATTATACTATTAGTGATTGCGAGACATTTTAGCCCCTGTTTGACAAAACTTTTTGAGATTATAAGTTGATGGATTTCATGAGATATATGGTGGAAAATGGATAAAAGTGATGAATTGAATGAATTGTAAGATCAAAATGAAGTTTGATTAGCTTACAATATGAAAAAAGCTTTGTATAATCAGGGCTTAGCCATACACAATATCGAGAAATTGTGAACTTGTCGAGTTAAATTTGTCATTGTGATTTTGAAGTACATCATGTAGAACCCTAGTTCATTATTAAATCATTGTCATTTTATTTAAAAAATAACTACATGGAATTGTTTTTGAATCTCATATTTCATTTAAATACATAGACGATTTATATTAGATTAGGGGGATAAAATTAAAAGGGATATAACTAGGGGGCACTGTGTTAAGGTGGATTAGAGGGTATTGCTCTAATATGATGTTTGGTGCTGCATCGGATGACTTCTACTTGGTTTTCTATCAAAGGCGTTAGGATATTATGGGTTAGCAAATGACCAAATCTTGTCTTGAAGTATTGAACAATGTTGTGTCTTTGATAGACGTAAATGAACAAACACGGTATTAATACTCGAAAGGTCTAACTTGGAGATAGTGGCTAACTATCATTCGATAAGACTTTGCAATGTGCTCTACCAAATTGTGACCAAGACCGTTGCTAATCGCCTAAAAAGGTACTCTAAAACCTAATATTTGAATCACAAAGTGCATCTGTGAATTGGTGTGTTTTATCGTTGATAATGCCATTGAAGCTTTTGAGAATTTACATTCTATGAGTTTGAGATAAAATGGGTGGAGAGGCTTTATGGCTGTGAACCTCGAGACTAGTAAGGTGTATGACCGGGTTGAGTATGATTTTATGATTCCTATTTTGTATTCCTTATTTTTTGTTGAGGCTTTTTCAGGATTGATTCGGAAGGCAGAGGCACGAGGGTACGTCAATTGATAATATTCCTTATGAAATATAAGTGGCCTTGCTTATGGTAGTTGGTGGGCGTAAAATGCGTGCTTCTGGTGCCAAGAAGGAGAGAGTATGGAAACAGGTCGATGTGTGACAATGCAGCTTTTGAGTGCTTCTAATACTGCAAATAGATATCGAGGTCGAATTTTCGTTTTCTTTAATTTGAATTTCTCATCGTCTACGATGATAATCCTCGCTGAATTAGTCAATTCTATAAAATTTTGCTTGACTTGCTAATACTCAAATAAAGTTCTTCTAATTTAGGGGGATTTTGGTAATATTGGTTTTCTAAATTATATCTTTTTAATCTTTCAAAAGGTAAAAAATCTAGGTTATTTATGTAAGAATCCCATAATTAATTTATTTTACCTATTTGTATGAACTTTAGGACCAAAGAGTGACACATAAAACACCTAAAATAATTTAAAATTACGTAGATTCATATATTTTTTAATTTAAGATAAAATATTTTTATAATTAATATGAACATTAGAGTACCTAATTCAATGTGAATTTGTACTAACCGGCCAAATAACGGTTTAACAGATATTAGTGAGTTTTGATCGAATTTATTAAGAATAATGTTATTCACAGTTATTCACTGTGACAGTCACACTATATGACATCTACATGGTAGGTAGTTATTTAATACGTAAACTTATGGATCAAATAATCACCTGTCATGTGTATGTCACGTAAAACAATTATGACAGTGAGCGACTACGAATAACATTAAGCACTTTATCAATGAATTGGACATCACCAAGTTTTGTGTCAAACTAGCTGATGGAGTCTGGGTGGTCTAATAACTTTTATTAAGCTTAGTTTAAATAAAAATCTAAATTTTGATACAAGGTGGGAGAAATTAATTTGATGGAGAAAGAACTTTTAGAAAATGGACCAAACATGGCTCAACTCTTTAACTTTTACGCTGCTCTCCTCTCAAAACTCTAGGGTTTGACACTCTCTTGCCTTCGTTCGTCCCTCAAGGTAACTTAAGGTTTCTTTATCGTTAATAATTTAATTTCAAGTTTTCTCATACTTCTACAAACTCTTTTGCTAAACTTTTCCTGAATAAAGCTTTTAAAAAACAATTGCAGTATCTAGAAACTGTAATTTTTATTTATTTATTTATTTTTTGCGTGAATTTTATTTTCATTTTTGACTTTGAAGTGAGCCACACTTACTGTGGAGAAAACAGAACTGGACCTAAATTGTCGGTCATTGTCCAATTGTGTTCCAGATTTTACATGTGGAAAATGGATTCATGGGAAAAAATTCATAATTGAAAGCGACTGGGAACGAGGCCAAAATGTTGCCCACTAAAATAAAGTATTTTTGCTTATTATAGTTTACTTGTAAGTCTGTGTTTTAATCTTAACCAAATGAATATATTCTCACTACCCCCAACTTGTTCATTGGACAGGGCACATATCTAAGAGGTAAACACTTCAGTGTTGTAGAAACAATACAACTCAAACAAAGTTCATATTTTTGCTACCACTAAAAGAGAAATCAGATTCAGATATAGTTCTACTCCATTTTTTCTTTGGTGGAAGAAAATGGCACAAGGATTCTTCATTCTGAATAGGCTAGGCAATCTACTGATTGCAAATGAAAACTTTGGTTTCGACACAGATGATAAGGTGCCCCCCCATATGGAAATTTCAACAAAAAAAGGAACTTCAATGGTTGGTATGGAAGGTATAGGAAATAAGGTATGCCTCATATTTATATACATTATCATGATTTTCTGGATGCTAATTTGAAATTCTTCTATTGTAATATTAAAACTAATTATATATCACACACACTTATTAATTTGCTTATACTCCTGCCCTGTGCTATGTGTTCATAGACCCAACTAATTTGCATCACCTGCCCAGTTTTTCATTTCATTTTGTTCATTTCTTGGAATTAGAATGTATAAACATTTACTGCACTAGAACAAATAAATATCTAGTTTGTAGTTGTGGTGAACCGTACCTTTCCATTTCAAATCTTTCTTCTGAATTTCTCCTGGAAGAAATTATTATATTTTCTGCTCTTCCTTATCTTCACTCTAATAATAATTCCCTCCCTCTGGGTTCGTAACACGTGGCTGTATTGAAGTTTATCTGTGGTTAAATGCCAGTTGAGATAAATTAAAATTACCAACTATAAAGATTATGATGCATTGAGGAACACACCCAATGATTATTTCCCTTAATTCATATTCGCTGAAGATCAAATGTGTTATTTCAATGAATTTTCTTTTAATTTTCTCTTCATTATAGTGGTAAACAAATATTTAACGTGATAGCTCATTTAGAGCCGGTCCTAAGATTGTCAGAGCCGAAGGCGAAATCCATAAATTAGGCCCCCCAAAATCAGCGTAAATACAAAATTCAATGGTGTATTATACAACATATTGCTAATTTAAAACTTAACATTAAAACAACTAACAAATATATTATACAAAAGATTTATATTATAAAATAATAAAACCAACAGTATTTTAAATAATTAGTTAAATACTATTCGTCTTACCGTGAGGCAGAAACATAAATCGAATCTAAATAATTTAGCTGTTTAACCATCTTTCTCTATTGATAATAGAGTCAATCCATTCAATCATCTTGCAATTAGAGTTTTAAATACAGTTACTACGTGTGCCTGTGTAATTATTGATCCTACAATAATCAATCATATAAGCCGATCATGTCGCAATTATATAAGCCGACTATGCTTCAAACATTTTCAATATATTCAATAACAAGTTAGGACAAGCCATTGCTTACTTGAGAAGTAGAATTTCAATGAAAATTATGAAATCACACCTTCAAGAATTCTCTTACTCTCTCTACAATACAAAACCCGCATCTCTCTTTATCTACCCGAGAACTCGAGTCTCTCTCTCTACCATTTTCAACTGCATAATACATCTTCATAAAACTTCCAATCGCCACCATTATCATTGGAGATTCATTGTGAAATAGCCATATTACATTTTAGTTTCAACCATAGTAGTATTTAAAATGGTTAGAGCTTGTAGTGTTGATGTAAATATAAAGGAGAAGGATAAAGGAAAGAGGAAAAAAGTTGTCAGAGGTTCTTCTTCTAAAAAGAGAGTCAAAATGTTGGCCTCTGGCAAGAAATCCGTAAATAAGGTGAAATTTGATTCTGTAAACCGAATTTGTGAGTTTTGTGAGCTATTTTTGACTCATTTATAACCTGATTGGGGTATTTTGTGACTGAAATATCATTTTGTGGCCTATTTAGGGTATTTTGTAATTTAAAGGATTTCTGACTCACTGTTTGATCGATTACTATTTATTTGAACTGAATATATTTTCTAAAGTGTGCTGGATTGTTCGTGAATGTAATAGGTGTTATGATTATCTACTGTTATGTGTCATGATTTTGAAGAATTTGTGACCAACTATTTATGATCTGAATATGGATATGTTGGTCACAGTGAAATGTTGTATTGGAGGTCACAGTAACATGTCTGACATTACAGTTGTATAAGACTGAAAATATTTAATAAAACTAATGAAAATATGGGAAGATCACTGCAACACTAATACAGAGTGTCATCGAACACTTTGTGATGAAATTTACTATTGTCTAGAGTGACATTCTAACGAACACATGTATCTCTTACTACATGTATTGTAGGGAGATAGCAGTGTAGCCACAATTGGTTGACTATGGTTTACTATGGGAGGTGAAGCAACCTAACAAGTAAGAGATGTGGTTCAACATAAATGGGTGATATATTCGATTTTCCATTGCTGAATTCTATTTGGTCTCTAGATTGCAGAATGAAGGGGTCGATGGTTGACCAATATTGGATGAAAAATCGTCTACACTGAAGGATACATATTTCAGGGGCTTAAAAGTTGTAACAAGTGAAGATGTCAAAAGAGTCTTTCTTGCACTAGATGTACCAGACTATGATGTCGTTACGATTGAGATTATTTATCTTATCATCTTATAACTATTTGCTGCATTATACTCGAAGGTGGATCCATACATTTTTGCACTTGCAAAAGATTTTGCCATACTTGAAATGTTCTCTTGGAGCATATATTTGTTTGAGACCACATTATCTTCACTAAGAAAGGGATTACCAAAACAAATAAGCCACCACAGATTGACAGATTTTTAGTGGATTTCTAGGTGTGACTGTATGAGTGCATACTTGCACTTGAAGAGAATGTGACCACAAGAATTAGCAAGAAATATCTACGAATTATGAATTGGACTGCACATAAACATCTTTTAAGTGGAAATGTTGGAGGACAAGGTGTTTGGAAGTAAGAATGTAAGTTCTTAAACATGTTTGAATTGTTATGTAATCATTTGGTTAGTTATACATATTTAAAATGATATATGCTCAACTTTTTTCCATCTTATGTCAAATAGGTTGTGATAAATGATATTGATCCATCTGAAGTAGAACTCACGATGGGCAATATATGATAAGTTGTAAATAAGAATTTAAGATATATTATGATATGAAATATGATTGTGACCTGAAGTATAAATATTTTATTTGCAAAGTCAAATATCTCTTATGACTGACCTGAAATACGTGACTTGTGACTTTCCTTAATATATGTTGTGACCTGATTTGCATCATTGTGCTAACTAATTTCATTGTTCTGTATGTTGGATATGATCAACCTACGTGCAATTTTCGAAAACTAGACAACCAAATCAAAACATTAAGATCTCTAAAACTCAAGCGAGCGCAAGTGAGTCTACTTCTATGCTATCAAAGATACATGTTCAAGATTCAGACGATGATTTTATAGATCCACCGTTGCAAAAATAGACGGGGACTGCTAGCTATAGCTCTCCTGCTTAGCCTCAGGATGTCTATTATCCTGATTGCTAATGTGTCGAAGTAAGTAATTTCATTTTATACAGACTTAAGAAGCCATTTTATATTCAATTTTACCAACTACAAAATTTTATCAGGAATGTGGTCGACTAAAGCAGCAATTGATGGATGAAGAAATAACTAAGCTTCAAGTGGAGAACAAAGGGTTAAAAGAGGAGCTTTTGTTGATGAAGCCAGAACTGTCAGACACAAATGATAAAGTGTGTCATTCAAACAGTTCTTTGAAGCTCAATGAGGTCATTTAAAGTCAGAATGTGTTGAAATATTTGCTTGAGCGACATCAAGTCGTCTCTTAAATCTTTTGTTGAATCTATGTCTGACATTTTTATCTTTGGTGATTGATGAAGTTCAGACAAAGTTGAGTGGTAAAGATGGTTCGACGGAACAAGAGATAAAAGCTAATGTTATAGTTGAAAGAAAGGGCAATGGTCACATGGAACCTGAGTTAAAAGGTGATGATGTGATTGAAAAAAAAAAAAGATAAAGGTCACATGGCACCTGGGTTTTCACATTACTTCCATGATGACTATATTCTCCAATCTACTTCATTTAATCAAGGTGTTGTCTACTTATAGAGTTCTAAAAGCTCTGATTATGCAATCTTTGCTAGTAAAGAAGTGTAGAATTAGGTTGATAAGACTATTGCAAACGTGTTGGAGTTTATTGAACTTTATATTGAAGATATCAGTTTAACGAAACATTTAGTATTTCATATTATAAATTTAGTTTGATTGTCATGCAATAATTCAAGAACCTTTCTTTTTATATTTTTGAACCAAGAAGATATGTTTACACCTTCATCATTTGGACTACCTATGAAGAATCACAAAAGCCATCAAAATCTCTACAGTCACCTTTAAGGTTGATCCACGTCATGCCACTACTAGATCAAATTTACATCTGCAAATGTTGTGTTCCAAATTTATTCGAAGGAAGTCGATAGTTCAGACCTGAGTTCGTTCCATAATTGGTTTGACAAAGGATACAAGCCCTAGAACATGTACATTAAATATAGGTTACACGTGTTTTTATGTCATGTATATCCTGTCATTATTTTATGTGACCATAATAACTTGATCACAATCTTATTCATTTGTTTGATATGTGCATACATGTGTGTATGGGGTAAAGTTCAACGATGCATATAATGTGATAGGTCATCAATTTGTATGTGGCAATGTCACTGTTTACCATAAAATTTGATGGCATGCGTTGATTGATTTTAATTCATCACTGAGCAGCACAGTACAATATTGCCATCATTTTTTCACATATGTATTTGTATTGGTTCACATCACTTATGTATGCTCTTTGTTATTATAGCGCATGGATGCATGCCTTCATTGCATAAGACAATTTGCTAAGTTTGATAAAGGTGTGCAGATGAATGCAACAACTATAGACTGTATATTTGATATGACAGTCCAAACTTCATATTTTAAATTTGTTCAAGATCCAAACATTGTGAATGAGAAGGACGACCTAATCAAAACCATCAATGGTAAATAGTTATCATTTAATAATATTTGGAGAGAAGTTGAATTCGTGTTGATGCCCATTATGGTTACAAATTTTGCTCATTGGATGTTGTGGCAGCTTGACATTAATAATCACATCCTGTACATATTCAATTCAAGCAATAAGTTGTACAAGGATAATAAGGTTCGTGAATGGGTATTGCTGTTTGTGAAGGCTTTTACGCATATGTTAAAAGTGGTCGGGCTGTGGATGGAAACTACTGATAATATGGGTGACGTATCCCAGGACCTGCATATTAACATTGTCAGTGGTTTATCTCAACAACAAAATGGGTAAGTTTCATTATGAACATTACAAGTTTTGTCATTTTTCATCAATCTTTTGTAGTTACTTATGGTTCGTCTATTTCAAATATTACAGGCATAATTGTAGTATTTTTGTCATAAAGTATGCACAATATTTGTTGTACAATGATCTTGCTAAAATGCCAATGTCATTTGATGCTAGAAATGTCAGGCTTGAAATTGTATTATTGCTATCCAAAAATAAACAACTGAGGCAGGTTGGAAGATAAAAATCAAAGTCAGATGACTGAATTAGTGTTGATGGAATTATTTTCATGATAGATTAGGTTGATAGCTGTTCAAAGGTAGACAAACAAGTGCTTTTACGATGTAGTCAACAAATGTAATTTTTATCTTTGTAATATGTTTTGAAATTGAATGCGAACTTATTTTTCTCAAGTAATTGATAAAATGGAAGTGAAAGTATTGATCTTTATGTGAATGGTTTTGTTTATATCATTTAGGTATTTTATGGAGGTAAAAGTTTACATTTGCACGATATGAACGTCACAAATGGTCATAATTGGTCAATGTCGTTGATGTCTTACATAAATGCAAGTTACAAATGGTCAAAAATAGCAACAGTTGATTAACTTGTTACATATGAACATGTCACAAATGGTAACATATGCTTAATAGGTAGGACTTATACATTTGTCATAAATAGTAAACACATAATTAGTCACATCTAGTTGAAGAAGATGACATTCAGAGTTAGTTTGAACACTCAAGTCAATTAACTTCGAATTTTATTCATAGTCAGTTACAAACAACCACAGCCAAACAAAAAACCTATTGCTTGTTATTGCCTTTTGTGCTAGAAATGGCCACAGACAGGCACAATCATCACAAACAGAGTTACACTCAATGTCTGTTTGCACACCCTTCTCAGAAGCATATGTGACAACTTGAAATGTAATCCAAACTCGATGTATAAATCTGTCAACTCATATAATCTAAACAATACACAATTTTCCAATAAAATGAAACAATTTGCAATTACAAAGAATATCCTTGTATAAAAAAATTACACTAAGCTATTTGCATTTCTCTTTGTTGTCAACTTTTTGTTGTTCTGGTTAAGTGGCACTATTTTATGCATGCTTGACGATTGTGATCAGATTCACCGCATCTTTCACGTTTCACAACTTGTAATCTCTCACATGCTGGCTTCTTCCTTCTGTCAATAGATCGGCCAAAACTTCTTTTTTGGTTTGAAGCAAGTACAACTCTATTATTCAAGTCTTCCGTTAAACTCCATTCTGATTTATTACATATAGGAAAGACTATCTCTTTCTAAGTATTTAGACGTGCATCTCTTATGTAATACACCGAGCAAGTCATATATATCCCGCTTCAATGTTGATATCACTGTTAGTGCATGTGAACAAAGAAGTTGATCCACTCGAAACATTTTACAACTACATGTATGCTGAGTTATATCAATCATATACGATGAAGAATTGTCCTCCACTTCAAACAAAGTGTGACTTGTAGGTGAAACCTAAAAATAAAAAATATTTAAAATTATACCTGTGATTAACATAATAAATATAGTTTGCAATCTTGACCATTTTTCATATCCAATAGCCACCTAGAAAATAATTTAGTTATTAGATAATATATTCAAGCATAAGTAACAATATGTCACATATAGTCACAATTAACTTTAAAAAGTTTACAGATAGTTAGTATTATTACGTAACAGGTTCATAAAATATATCATTTTTCAATTGTAAATGAGGCTACATGCTAAATATTTACTGATATATTTCATTCGTAATCATGTTTCAATTTCACGTAACAATAGATAAAATATAATTCGTACACTAAACGTGCATGATCACAAATATTTATTAACATTTCATAATATCACAGAATAAGTCACGGAAAGTCATAGTATATGATATAGACACACTAAATATCTCTCGATCTCTTCATTCATTGAATTCAATTGCTACATTTGGTATTCAAATTCATCCACTGTATATGCTATTATAGTGTAATTGAATGAATGTGTGACATTGTGACTTGATTTTGCGTAATAAGTCTTCAAAATTTTAAGCAAATGGTATGAAAAGATCCCATGCATTGCCCTTGGATTACGAATTCAATGGCACTTCTTATGCTATTGTATTTATCTAATATTATACATAATCCATCTCTCGATCCATATGCCCTCTTCAACATCTTAAGAAATCATCTTTATGACTTATTATTTTCATCATCCCCAATCACAGAAGCTAGTATGAGAATGTTTGTATCTTGTGTGCAACTGTGAAGATTGTACTCATGCAATGACCTTTCAAATATGTGTCATCAATTACAATGACTAGCCTATAATATTTTCAACCAGCGATCGATGTACTCAAAGCCATAAAACAATATTGAAATGATTTGTTTCTATTCTTATGACTTTTCCTACATTCATCTGTTGTAGCATAAAAAAATAAGATGGTAACAATTGAAACAATATCGTTGGATCACTCTAATCACTTTTAATGTACGTTCACGTGAACTCCATGCTTTCATATAATTCACCGATACTCCTTATTTATGTAACATGTTATTCGAGATATCATTAGGAGTGTTTATTGTACGTGAAGATGTGTATTTGTATATGATGCAGTCTGAAACAATTGAGCTAGATGTTTGTCGATGAGATCTTAAAACAATGTTCATCAAGCATGTGTGACTATTACACATTTCTGTGATCTTAAACATATTCGTTTCTCTTAACCGTGAAGACCTAAATATCTATTTGCAATCATTATGAAAACACTTCATGTACTCCTTTGATTTTAACACCTTATATTCAAACTTTTCTTTTGCACAGCATAGAAGACCAAGCTCAATTTCAGTATGTCCTTGTTGCGAAAAACATTTCTCTCCACTACTGCTCTAATATCTGCTTCGGATACCAATGTCACATCTTTTTCAATTTTTTCTTTCTCAAGGGTCACCATTGAGTCACAAATTTCTTGAGCTATTTGTTGTAAAGAAAACATATTAGCCGATGACTCAACGAAAGTAGTCAATGACTCTTGGCATTGTAATGTATATCTCGACTTACATGAATTTGTAGTAATAACATCAATCACAATAGGATAACTCGATACAGTCCCATCCAAAGATTTTAACCTCAAATACGTTAATACATTATTATTGCTCAGAATTTGGATTGAAGGTAAAATAGAATCTAAAGAATATGTCATTGTCAAAGCTACTTTTGCATGATTAAGCCCCAATTCTGAAATAACAAGCTCAAATACGTTAAGACATTATTATTGCTCAGAATTTGGATTGAAGGTAAAATAGAATCTAAAGAATATGTAATTGTCAAAGCTACTTTTGTATGATTAAGACCCAATTTTGAAATAACAAGCTCAACTAATTCATCAAATTCGCATGTATCATTCACTAGTATAAGTGATGTGTGACCTCCATACAACAAGCAAACGTGCAAAACTGCCATTCTTAATCTCATAGAAATAGCATGTTACATTTAATTCACTAAATCAAGAAACATTTAGATGTAACGGAGATGGTTAATAGCATAACATATTGACATAATATGTCAAACATAGATCAGTCAAGGACACATTTTCACATTTAATATGGACATACTGACATACAGTCAAGACATGTAGGTTCATTGAGAGTCGATTTGAATGCAATGATATTGGTTACAGATCAGGATAAAGAAGTCACAGATTGATCAATAAAGGGCACGAAATTTCATATTTAAATGTAAATATATTTACATACAGTCAACAATTGTAGGATCACAGAGAATCAATTTCAATGCAATGACATTGATCACAAATTAAACTAATTCAACTTGTGAATTGTCAAGGCCTTTATCATATAGGTCGCAAACCATTCAATTTAGTAGTCAGAACTAGTCACTACTAATAGAAATATGTATCAATGTGAATGAATCACATAAACGATCATAGATATTCACATAACAGTAGGTCCATAACTGTAAATTGAAAATAGAATTTAAAATCTATCAATGGCTAATGAAAAAACACAAGTCGCACGTTGGTTAAAATGCAAGTTATTGTTCCCAACGAGAAACCTCTGATCATGATTGGAAAAATGTTTTATTTGGATCGAAAACATTGGTGTCTTCAAAATCAGAAGCTTACATTAAGTTATTATAAGTTTACCTTCGAAATTAGATCATAGAAGCTTAATTTTTGTTTAACGAAAATCCAATTCTTCTACAGTCGAGCTTCAACTTCTCTAGACAAATGAAAATTAGAAGTATGTTGATAGGTTTGTGACCTCATTTAACGACCGTGGCTTAAAATTGAGGATTAACGGTGATTATAAGTTTACCTTCGAAATCAAACCACAGAAGTTCAGTTATTGCTTAGGGAAAATCCAATTCCGTCACATCCAAGTTTCAACTTTTCCATAGCAGTAAAAATCAGAAGCATGTCGATCGAATTGTGATCTTATTCATTGATTGTGCATCGAAATCGAGGATAAATGGTGAATTTTTGTGATTTTGGAGATTCTTAGCAAGCGGGGATTTGTAGAGAGAAAATCTCATTAGACTGTGAGAGGAGAGTGAGAAATATCTTTTAAATGTAGTATAGTAACTGATTTGTAGGAGATAATTTAGTAAAGTATATTTAATCCAAATTTAGTAGATATTATATTATAATTATATGTTCAATATTATGATTTATCCCCTGATTTATGAAATTTTTTAGCGAGTTTGTCAATTTTGAAATGTGGTTCTTATAATGTACAAATTATGTAGTGTTTAATTTTTTTCTAACGACCCGATCTTTATGTCCAAGCCGTCTGCTTTGGGTGAACCCAACGCCACTTACCCTTCTATTGCATCCCCATGATTCAAACACGACTCTCACTTTAAGAGAGGCTTAAATTGAATTCTAATACCAATTGAATTTGGCCCAAGCTGTTAAAACATACGTACTATCGCTTTGGTTGGGCATAGGGTTCAATTTAAGCCTCTTTTAAGAGGCAGGACCTGTGTTCGAATCTTGGGGACGTGGGTGTAGGCTCGCTGAAAGTGCACAGTACATATATTTTAACACTTTGGACATAGAAATCAGGTCGTAACTTTTATCTACTTTTTTCGTTTTGTTTTGATCACATCTAATCGTGCTTCCTGATGTTCTATACTATTTTTTATTTCAACGAGAATGCACAAATATACTATGATTATCCTAAAAAAATATAAGGAGAAAGAAATTCTTAAAATTGAATGACAAATGAAAATAGGACGAGATCCAAATTTTTCTATAGGAAATTGTGCCAGCATCACTAGTCATGCAATATGATGCATCTGTCGGCTCGGCCCTTAACCTCATGAGCTCGACTCACGCTCGTGGCTCGTTGAGCTTGAGCTCGGCTTGATCCACGAGCTCGTGGGCCGAGCCAAGGTTTGGCTCGCGAGCTCCTCATCTTTTTCGTTTTTTTTAAATAGAGAAAAACATAAATAATGTAATGAAAACACTTTTAAAAAAAATAAAAAGTGTCAAAAAATACAAATGATTTAATGAAAACACTTTTTTCTTTTTCCATTTATGTCATATTGTAATATTTTTTATAAAGTATAAAATATTTATATAATGAAGACGAATTGTTTTTTGAAATACATTTACAAAAAATACATTTTTTTCGATTTCCTTTTAAAGTAGATAGAATGTAAACCTTCCTCCTTTATCCTAGCTCGAGACCGGCTATATCAATTTTAAGTAGGTGGAGTTAAAAATTGTACACAAACAACTTGTTGTAATGTGTACACTTTTTTAAAGAAAATTAAATTTAACGATTAAAAAATAAGGAAATTTTAATTAATATAATTAAATCAAATATCACTTATATGACAACATGCAATTTTAGCGTATTTATCTTGTGTCGAAAATGAGCGTCCTGTCAATCCTTCAAGCACATTAATGCTTCCAAAACATCTTCCTTCAGTTGGCTCCTGATATCGGTCAAAACCCTTTTACCCGCACTAAAAGCAGATTCTGAAGCAACAGTGCTAACTAAATGTGTCAGCACATCTTTCGTAATTACAGAAACAATTGACTAACATCTTTCATACTTTCGTCAGAATTCAATTACTTCTTCTGAACTTTTTTTTAATTGTTTTGTCTATTGGCATATTATGATTAAAGTAATCAATTAATTCAACAAGCATCGCATTTTGAGTTGTGGCCGATATTTGATGAGATGCAAATGTAGACGACATAGCACTAGATGAACACATTACAGTTGTATCATATCTAAATGTATTAATGCCTTGAAATAAATTTATTATTTCGGTATCATCTTCTTCAATTTCAGCCGAGTGAGTAGGTGCAGAGGGTACCCGACTGACATTCGCACCCATTCTTTCCGCATATAAATCATACATTCCACATAATGTTTACTCTAAATTCTCATAGGTGACAGGTGTATCAAGTATTAAACCTCTATTGATTTGATCAATTACGTATTTAGTTCCCGAAATATTATATCGGGGGTCTATTGCGCATGCTAAAGGAAATAACATAGACAGTTCTTTCCAATATTTTCTAAACTTTAATTCTATAGCAATTATAATCTCACTAAAAGTAAGATCATTTTTATATTTATGGAACATTCTTGCAATTATATAAAGGCGTTCAAGCACCATACAGTTTGTGGGATAATAAACGCTGAATAAAATCTTTGTGGTCTCATAAAAAGATGTCAAAAATCGTTTAACTTTCAAAGCTAAAACCAAATCAGATTCATTCAACATACCATCATCATCACTTCTAACGTGCCTATTGTTATAAAAGTCAGTTATTAAATGTTCAAAATTTTCATATGACTTTAATAGCAAGTAAGTAGAGTTTCATCTATGGCCTACATCATTAACAAATGTTTTAGCAGTCGTCACCCCTAGTTCGACACAAAAATCTTCAAATGCTTGTTTTTTACTAGGAGAGATCGTAATATATAGCATTCCTAATTCTTTGAAATTCATCCTTTATATGTTTTAAGCCATCTTGCACAATTAAATTCAAGATATGGTACGCACAACGAATATAAAACAAATACCTACCAAAATCAGGTTGAAGTGTCCTACACAATTTATCGACGATTACCTTATTAACACTAGCATTATCAAAAGTAAAAGACCGAATTTTAGTCTCGCAATTATATTCTCTAACAATACTGATAATAACATTATATATATTATTAGCATTGTGAAGAAACTCAATAATTCTAAAAGCAATAACTTTTTTATGTATGCACGAAAGTGGGTTTATATAGTGTGCGGTTGTAGCTATATATGCTCTTTTATTAACCCCTTCTCATATATCAGAAGTTAAAGATATAACATCTCCATATTGTTGAAAATCCATAATTAATTGTCGTTTTGAATTATTGAAATATTGTATTGTATCGGCACGAAGAGTGTTTCGACTCCAACGTACCTTAGTTGCAGATATTTTTTCACGAACGAGACGAAGTGTTGTGTAGGCTGACTAAAGGTCAGCAAATAATCAACAACCTCCATTGATTGATTATTAGCCCCAGAAGTCCACCATCAATCAACCATCTGTTTGTTTCATTTTTTAGGCCATGCCCTTTTGCTATTTCAAAAGATCCCATGAACAGATTTGGTACACAAGCTGTTACTTCTCTAATAAAGGCATAGCAGCCTTTTTAGAGCATGATAGATGTAAAATAATTTCGGATTCTTCTTGCTCACCATTTCCCTTCCCTTTCAGCACTCCATCACGTTTATTCTCTCGTCATAAACTTATGTTTTTGCATAACCATTGAAGCCTTTCTTGTTTTCGAAGTTCTATGTTTAATCTATTCTCCTTCTATTGTAATAGGATGCAATGATGCCTGAACTTTATGAAAAAAGTGGAACTGGCGCAAGCAAAAATAGACAACTTTTTGATTTTTGAAAATATTTTGGCTTGTCATTTTTTTTACGAAATTTTAGTTAAATTTGATTAAAAACAGGCTAATGAACAAGACTTAGGAGTGGTAGGTCCAATTTCGAGCAAATTCCTTCATCTAGACCTTCTTTTAAGCCTTTTTTCAATTTTTATTTTTCCCTTTTTTGATAAATTTTTTTTTTTTTTGTTATGTCTCATTCAATATAAGTCTGATTTAAATTCGGTTTGAAATTTCAATTTTACCATTATCTTGATTTTTTTTTTCCAGTTTTGACAAAAAATACAATTTATTATTTTTTTATTTTTCCAAATTTTCCTAGGATTTTTCCTATATAAAGCATTGTAAGTCCTTGTGGCCGCATTGATTGAGAGAATTAATTTTTTTTTGAGTTTTTTTAATATTATAAGACTTGTGTTCATCTTTCCTATAACCTTCCGCTACGTCAGCGAGGTTTATGGATTTGTAAGGTCCCATATATAAAAAAAATTATCTGATTTCTACATTTGTTCGCAAAGTGATGCATTTGTACCAGCCTATCCAAGCAAATTTCATACCTGTGTAGCGAGGATTAAAATTGTCTACGGGAAAGCACAAATACTTGTTCTGGCCGAAAGAGATTCCGCATCTGCAAATGATCATGATTCTCCATACATAGCTAAGACAGCCATTTCCCTTATTCTTGTTGCTGTAAACGAAATACCTAAGATTATCCAGAGCAAATGTTCTTTTCCGTTTTATTTATCTGGAGATCATGTTTTGGCTGAAAGAGATTCGTGATTTCCCATGTTTAAGGTTATCAAGAGAGAGTTTGAAAATTATTTTTTTCCACAATTGAGTGATTCAAAGCATCAAACCGAAAATCTCATGACTTATACAAAAAACAATCTTAAACAATAAAAGTTAGATTTGAACTTTTTCAATAAAATGACATAAAACTGCATAAGATGAGAATAAACCAACCAGAAAGCGGCAAGCTAATTACATGGCACTTCTTCGTTGGTATCCCCAAAACACAATACGTTAAACATTCAGAAAACATGTAAATCAGCTAACGTAATAGAACTGTACCCATATCAAGAAGCTACGACGTTTTCAATAGCACAATATTTCAGCACTCCCAAAAACTTCATATTCTATCTATGAAAATGTTAGCACACTATGTCGATCACTTTGGCGAAGAAAACCATGCGGTAGAGTCAACCTGCGAAAACACATTTAAATAAATGCTTCTTACTGACAATAAACACGTCGTCCCCATCACCAGCCAGGATGGACATTTCTCTAAGAGCGAACAAAAAGTTGTATTTACCTCTTTATTGATGCGATCTCTTTGTACAGAATTCGCTAAAAGGCCTATTGGGTACGGGAATCAGTTTTCCGATGACTGCAAGTGGCCAGCTGGTGAAGAAGTAACGGTGAATTTACAAATGAGATACAAGAATTATGAGCAAGCTAAACGGATGAAAGTCATAGACCGACACTTCAATGACAAACGAACCTGATAGCACCAATGGCTATGGAAACGAGCCACAACTTCCAACTGAGTCGAACAGTAGAAGCGAACTTCCCAAGAAACATAATTATTATCACCTGGATAACAATAGCAGATATATGAAATCAGCGAAGATGCAGAGACTGAAAAGAAAATTTGCTTCTAGAAAGAGCAAAGATGTTCGCATTTACCTGGAGCAGAAGGGTTAGGCCAACAATACCCATGAAAAGACGATTTTTGGTTACTCCCTTCCACACATTAATCTCATCAGGCTTTCTAGCATTAAATTCATTAAATATCTGAAATCATAAACATCAAACGATATCAGTTAAATCACATTCCAAAGCAGAAATCAAAGACCTGAAATACTTATGAACCAAACAGTGTAATTACCTGGCAGAAAACGAATGCATTAAAAATCAGCGTATTCTTCTCCCTGAATGCATGGTCACTCGTGTCATGCTCTAAATTCAAGATTTTTGTTCCGCCAAAATTGAGGATGAGGAGAACCGTCACTTGATATAGAGCCTGAAATTATTGAACCACCAATAGAGATTACAGCAAAACCCCCTAAAAAAAAAGAGTCTATTTTCTATTCATAGCCTCTAAATCGTAATAAAAAAAGTCACAAAAACTTGTACCTGTATGATCAAGTTCCTCCACATGATATTTGTTATGAGAGGTTCCCTAAAATAGCAGCGGTATCTTAATCAACAAGGATTCAATATGAAATTCACATCACAGAAAAATTCACCCTTCATGCAACCCATCCCACTTCCACATGGTTAAAGACTTATCTGCCATTCTGTTTCCATCTCAGAGCCGAGCACGCCTTTAAATATCAAAATTGGTTTCAGAATTTTGCTATTATTACCAATAATCTTTGGCAGATAATTAAGGTTATGTGTTTAATAATATGATAGGACGAGGGAGTTCTTATAGCACTAATATATCTTATTTCTGTTTTCATTCTCTTTTTCCTTTTTTAGAGGGATCAAGAATCAGTTTCATACGAGAATATCTGACTGACATGGGTACTAAGGTGTACAAAGATACAAAGAAAACATATCTACAATAACACAGTGATTGCACAGCACACATACAAAAATAATTCTAATTATGATAAAATTTAATTTTTCAATGGGCAATAGTCCACTATGATTACCACCTAACATGTAAAAGCAGCACTCCAAAAAGAATATTAAATTAATCATTTCTCTTTCGGTATGCCAGGAAGGGAGAAGAGTAGTCTGAACTTTCCAGACATGGTAAGTAATAAACCCAATTTTTAAATTATGTAAACGATTTTAGAACATTACATAATAGCTGGTAAGTCTAACCTTCTACCCACGGGAGTTCTACGCATGAGATGATCAGTGGGAGGTTCCGTTGCAAGTGCAAGAGCTCCTAGTGTATCCATGATAAGATTTACCCACAGAAGCTGTGTAGAAGAAATAGAATGTGGAAGTTACTACACAGGTACTCACACCCACATAAGAAACAGCTGAGAGATCTACGACCACAGAGGCTAGCAGGTGGAGCGAGAGATTACGAACCTGCACAGCGTTTAGTGGGACATTACCAGAAGAAACCGCAGACACTACATTGATTATCAGGGCAGCAACATTAACTGTGAGCTGAAATTGAATAAATTTCTGTATATTTGCGTACACAGATCTTCCCCACCTCACGACCTGCAATTCACAAAAAATGTACTGAGAAATCACAATAATTCAATTCTGAAAGGCTTTAAGTCTTTAACCAGACATGTAGACAAAAATCTACCCCCACTGCTGTTAAGGGAATATAATCCCACATCGGTAAAATACCGAAATAATGACCAATATATAAAGGATTGGGACACTCCTCTTAACAAGGTTGACCTTATTAAGATGGACCCCAAGTCTTAACATGGTATCAGAGCCCAATAAGCTCCAACGAGCTATTTGATCCGATCAAGTCTCAAAAATGAGCACACGGATTTCAAGATTGGTCTGCTCAAAAAAGCCACCATCTTGCGGGGACATATTAAGGGAATAAATCCCACATCGGTTAAATACCGAAATATTGGCCAATTTAAATAGATCTTGGGCCACTCCTCTTAATAAGGTTGACCTTTATTAAGATGGACCCCAAATCTTCACATGGTATCAGAGCCCATTAAGTTCCAACGAGCTATTCGATCCGATTAAGTCTCTAAAAATGAGTACACGGATTTCAAGATTGGTCTGCTCAAAAGAGCCACCATCTTGCGGGGGCATGTTAAGGGAATATAATCCCACATCGGTAAAATACCGAAATAATGACCAATATATAAAGGATTGGGACACTCCTCTTAACAAGGTTGACCTTATTAAGATGGACCCCAAGTCTTAACAACTGCAACACAAACACCCAACTGCAAAACCTGTAAACCATCATGCCCTATCCTTACAGCTGTTATGGAGGTCAGGGATCCATGAATTATGGAAAAACTGATAACAAGCTCATTGATTTTTTTATGTATGAATGACTATTTAGTTTAAAATCGAGACAACCAGAGGAAGGTCCTTGTAACTCCATGGAAGCTGAAGAAAAACTTGAAGCATCCAGAAGAAATCTTAAGAGTGATGATAAATGATAATATACAGATTTGAACTGATACAATCACCTTGTAAGGTGGTTTTAATTTCATTTGAAGCAATATTATCCATGTTCCTGACTGAAGGAAATTGAAGTAGTTTTTGCTTGATAGCGTATGAACAAGCATTGCTTAGAGTTCATTTATGATGAGAAAATTACAATAAGTGGCATCATATTGTGAAATGGTGACTGACCTTTACCACCGTGGAAAAATTATCATCCAGTATGATAATATCTGAGCTCTCTTTAGCAACTTCAGTGCCTTGGATACCCATTGCAAGACCTATATCTGCCTACACCACGATAGAATTACAGATCAGATCATATGAACTGAAGAAGTAAAAACAAGACTAAATAAAATGCAACATAGAAGTCTTTGACAAGATTAATATTCTTCTGCTACTCTTCTATACAGCAAGTACTATAATGAGATTCATGGACACAGATTATTCAAATGTTCATTTACAGAACTTACCTCCAATTTAATACAGTTCAGACTTCTAGTCAATTTAATTTGATCTTTTCTGAATTCCATAAACATATCTATCTAGGACAATGAAACTGATATACCAGCAGTTGTTACAGACAAAGTTAACAAGGACTTGTGAGTATGAAATCAACCATCTTGTACACACTAAACCAAAGATAGACTAAATAAAATTTCATTTTATCCTACCGAATAAAAGTTGACTTGTACAGATGAAATTTGTACCTAACCACAACATGGTTCAGACACAAATTGTGTCCGGTGAGCTTAGTAGCTTATAAGATGGCATTTTTAAAAGTAGGTAGTCACAGATTAAAAAAAGCCATCTTAAAAGTTACTTATAATCTAATTTTTCTAATCAAACTAATAAAATGAACCAGTAATACCAGCAAAGAATCAAACCTCATGTAGTGCTGGAGCATCATTAGTTCCATCTCCAGTAACAGCAACTACGTGTCCCCTCTTCCTCAGTGCTTGCACAAGCAAGAGTTTATCATTTGGAGCTGACCTGCCCATTACCTGATCATACAAGAAGTCATCAGTGTCCCTTAACAACTAGCACAAACGAACAGCAGCCAAGATTATTTACAGCTCTTACAGAAATTTTGTCAGCCACTTCTAGTCTCTGTGTGTCGGACAAATCACGGAATTTCTTTCCTTCAATAAGATTAGGCTCAGTAGCATCTGCATTGGATCCTAATATCCCACACTCCAAAGCTATTGCCCTAGCTGTTTGAAGATTGTCACCAGTGACCATCCGAACCTATTAAATTGTTAAAACGATATTCAAAAAAAATGGAACACTTAAGAAGCTTCATGGCTAAATCAGCAGATAAACACATTACAAAGACCAAAAATCCCATTAGTGAAATCACATTCTACTGATGTATAAGTGTAAAAATATTGTTAAGCCATCACATAATCAATTAGATAAAAGTTTCAGTCCAACTCAAATTAAGGTAAACATCATTTCCACACTAATATCTGTGGGCTATCTGGACAAGATAATAAACAAGGTCTGATGTCGTCACAATATACACAAAATTTTCTACTGTGTCAGAAAAATAGTTCTTGAAATGTTATTCAAACTAATGGAGCAGAACTATGGGTGTGAACAACTAGTTCTGCACAAGATCAGAATATCTGACGGCTATAAGAAAAAATATTTGAGATAAAATGCCATGGAAAAATAAAAACTTTTCTAAATAAGTATGGTAGAGAATTTAAATAAACAGCTTTGGCCAGTGCAAACATTAAAAGGAAGCAGCAAAATTATTGACAAAATATGGCTACTCCCAGATGCAAACAGCATCAATTTGCCCATCTTTCAAATTGGACATAAGAAATTTTGGCGGAAAGCATGTTTAGACTTATTGCACAAATACTTGCATTTAAGATGGTTTATCTGCACTGATGTGTTGATCTTCTGAGCTTATAAGAAGAGCCAAAGTGAAGGAGGAAATGATGGGGTGAAAAAGATGCGCGAAAAAAATATTATCAAGGATAGAAACATGCTAATTGATAACATAAATATAAGAGAAAACTGACATGAATGTGCTTGAGAGATGTATATACCTTAACACCAGCATTAATACATAATTGAACTGCCTCTCTCACGCCAGGACGACAAGGATCCTATGTCATAGATAAACACACTAAGTGACTAAGTATAATAAACATGCATGTATCAAAATATAATAGACTTGCATAAAAGTTTACACAGATCTATTTTATACATGAAATAAGTGCTTTAGACATTTAAAATTGATCCAGAGATGTATTGCCCCGAAAAATGGGAGAAAAATGATAACCTTTCAACATATGACATAATTATGGGGAGATGTATGATACTCGGACACCAAAACATACACAAAATTAATAGAGACTATCGAAGTCGACCTCCCAGAACTACATGGAAGTACATTTTTAGGAACAAGATTATGGCCTTCGCCAATAGATATAGTCAGACAACTGCCACCGAGAATCTGCTGATTGTGAGAAGAAAAGTCTTTTGACCAGCAAGTGATCCCTCATTTTCCAAATAGTTAAATTGATTATTCATATTCAAAAGTACCATCTTAAGGGAACTTTTCTCACCATGTATACAAGTATGTGCAGCTAAAGAACTGACATCTAGTGAAAACAGCAAGTTCTTTTCCCTATTTGGTGAAAAAATAAATCATTTCTAACACTCAGAATCTGATTTCCAGAATGAAAAACCTGTCATTTTCATTTTTAACCAAATAGTTTATTTATGTGAAAAGCTAAAGTTCAATTATTATGAAAGGGTGAACAACTCATCAGTACCTTGATACCGACAATAGCCAGTAAAATAAGGTCTCCCTCTGGTAACTTCCAACTCGACAATTCCTCTTCATCACTTGGAACCTTCGCCATTTCATATGGCCTGTAGGCAATAGCAACACACCGCAAGCTTCTGGCAGCCATATCTTCAATTGCTTTCTTAAAAAGCAATGACTGCAGATGATAATAATTTTATTTAACGGCAGAGATGATGTTTAAAAAATTTAAAAAAATACCGATACTCCAGAAAAAGTTTTGCTTTTCATTTGCTACAAACTATCAAGTATATTTCTTATCACTTTGAAATAAGCTTGCATTTTTTCTTTTTTTTTTGTTCCTTGGAAACTACAAACATTTTTGCCTTAGAAACTAAAAGTAACAAAAAACAGAAGTTGATAAAAGAGCGGGTTGAAGGGATAGCTATGTAACAAAGAAAAGGAACTGTATTAGAAAACCTTATCTTCATCCATTGGTGCCACATGATTATTTGTGTCAATGTAACTTGTACAAGATGCAAGGACTATTTCTGCAGCCCCTTTCCAGTGCACATGAACTTCAGAATCCGACTGCAATATAATGATTTTGAAGTATAGTGAATAAATACATGAAGCCCACATATAACAGAACTTGCTTCCCCTTTTTATATATCACAAAATGAGAGTACAACCTTAAAGCTAATACTACGAACCTCAACATAAGGACTGGAACGTTTAGAAATGTGCTTCAAGTCTCATAATTAGTAAGAGAGAACATAAAATAAAGACATTTGTGATTGATCATCTAATGCAGCTTTTGGAACTGTAGTGATAAAGATATGTTTGCTTATTATCTAATCACTTAATATCTTATCTTCAAAATAAATTTCCTTTGTTGTCTTTTGCCCTATGCCAACCAATATTTCACTTATATAAGTATCATATATATGTACACATAAAATATCTGAATTGATTTATCCAGTTACCAGTTTCAGAGCGACACCACCTCGCTTTTTCTCTGAGTTGAATGGAAAGGCATGAATTATCACTGAATTTGATCTTGCAGCTTTGAAATCCATCCCAAGCTACAGGAGACATAGCAATTAATTAAATCAATTCAATGAAGAGAACAAAGAATCAAGTAACAAGAAAAATGGAATTAACTGAATTACATTAATTCCCCACTGAAGAATGGCCTTTTCTGTTGGTGAACCAGAAACCTCCAGAACTCCACCTTCCTGTAAACAATCAGCCACAGCGAATGTGCATGCTTCATAACAAAGCTTTTATAGTGTAAAAGAAACGAGTTATAGTATAATAGTCACAGCTACAACATTAGCAACATCACTAAACCAAAGACAAGCTTTTACATGTTTATGAACGTCAGCTACTAAATTGATTCAATTTTTATGTTATCTAGTTATTCACCCTTGAAGTGTCAGCTAGGAACATCACATTTTCAAAAAATATTAGGCGGCAATTTTAAACCCCAAAACCTAGTAAATTCTTATGCAGACAACAAAGAATGCTAAATTCCTTCATGATAAAAATTTTAAGCAGGGACGGTTCCTATTGAAAATAAAATAAAAATGAATATAAAACATCCAACCGCCTTATAATATACATTGTGCAAAAAGTTAAAAGGCTTTCTGTAGGTTAAAATTCCTAGCCACTTGATATTAAAACATCCAACCGCCTTATAATATACATTGTGCAAAAAGTTAAAAGGCTTTCTGTAGGTTAAAATTCCTCGCCACTTGATATTAAAGTGATACTCACTATCAACGTTTTAGGCACTGTCATACACACGAGTAACATGCCGCCACGATTTTAGTAGTTGATATAATTGAATAAACAACCATTGAAATATACTAAAATGCAGTTAAAACCTACCTCAGGAACAAATACACTGCCAGTCGTGTTCTGTGCAATGCCTTCAATAAGTAGAGACATGATATTAGAAGGAAGCAGGGACTTATTATCTGGGGGATCAATTTTGTTTCCACAAGAATATGCCTCGACCACGGTCATCTACATAAAAATTGTAAGGAAAATCATCACAACAGGAAAAAGAAAATTTGTATATCACTAAAATTAAAACAACTGATTCCAGAAGTTTCTGAGTTAGCCCTCGAAAAGCTATGTCGAAGCAAAAGAAGAAAACTAATGACTGACCTGATTGAGAGTTAGAGTCCCGGTTTTATCGCTGCAAATGGTAGTTGCAGACCCCATGGTTTCACAGGCGGATAACCGCCGCACCTGCATCCCAAATTGATTAATTATGACTAGCAGAAAACAGTAGAAGCTCTAAGAAACAAGCAAAATGATAAAACTATGCCTTTATTATGTCTACATACCAAGGCCTTGTCTGCCATCATTTTTCTCATAGAGTATGCAAGCCTACAGGACAAATGTAGGATACAGTAAATTATGGAAATTGGCAGTGTGAAAAAAGATACAATAATCACGCATCCATCTCAGCGAACAGAAAACGCAATTTCAGCTTCATCCAACCAATGGAAGGAAAAGCCAAATTGCTTCAGGTAGCCAAGGTTAGTTTAAGAAATTACTAAATCACAATAATGAAAACGAAAAGGGTTGTGAGAACAACTAGAAAGCTCGGAGCAATAACAGACCCAACATCAAGAAGCTATTACTAGTTATAAGAGTATTGCTGGGCTCTTGTCAGAAAAGATATGACAATTTCAGATAAAAAATTAGTACCATATATGCAGCAAAATTGTTGACTATAACTCAGACATAATAAAAAACAAATACGTGACTCAATACTAGATGGGCATCAACAGGTGAACTTACGTCAGGGTAACAGCCAAAGGAAGCCCCTCCGGTACTGCAACAACTACAATGGTCACCTGGAATTGTTTCGCAATTCATTTAACAATTCAAAGGTGAACATACAGCAGAACTAAATCAAAAAGTTAATCGAATAGAGACATACTGCAACAGTGAATATTTTTATGAACCCATCTATCGCTTCACCAACTTTAGTCTGGCCTGCTTTAAATTGGACAGTCCCATCTGGATTTCTGGTATGCCCGGTAAAAAATCTGCACAAGAACAAAGTTGATTTTTAATCAATATTACTCACATATTATCTGGCAGGCAGAACAAAACTATATATCTGAAGTTACCTGGCCACAAGAACAATCAGAACGACTACAGCTACCGCCAGGCCAACAATCCCAATAAAAGTGGCAACCCCATTTAAACGTACCTAAACTCAGTAAAACACAACAATGTGAACATTATAGCCAAGCAGTCTTGAATCCATACAAAAGATCAGGAATATTAGCAAATTTAACCTGTAATGGTGTTTCTTCACCATTATCCTCCGATATGCTTGACATAAGCAGTCCCCATTCGGTATTTATTCCCACACCTGTTACCTGTGAAAAAACATTTATGCAAAACACAAACTCGTGTAAGCATGATAAAGTTAAAAGAGCAGAGCTCAAAAAGGAAATGTAACCATGCTAAACACTACATATTTGCAAATTAAAACATAAAAAAGAATTAGCAAAAATTGTATTTGCAAATTTAAGTAAATGCAATGCATCGTATAAGCAACATATTTAAACATTGTCAAAGGGTTATAAATAATGTAAAGAAATGCAACCATCAGAAAATAGTTTGAAATCAGGTCATTGGCTGGCAGCTTGAAAATAGTGGGGGAGTTTGACTCAGTAAGGATTTTTATATTGCTTGTTGAAAGGTTTTCTATTACTAACACAATCAGCAATTCCTAAAAACATACATTATTAGAATCGTATATAGATCCACATCGTAAAGAGTTTAGGAAACACAGCCTCAAGTTGTAACAGCTGGGAAGGGCAGGGCGGATCCAACACTCGATGAGCCCCCGTGGCCACACGTGCTGGATTTGTCGAGAAGATTTTTTTTTTTGGTTCACAATAGATAAAATATTTCTATTATATATCTGATAATTCATTTTATTTACAAATATCCGTGGTAGCTCATTTGGCTGGCGCTTCCACTATTAAATTTAAGGTTCTAGGTTCGAAACTCTTCAATAGCAATATGACGTGTAATTTTTGTATTTCAACAATTTTTACCAACACAATTTAAGGAGCGGGATTCGAACCTGTCACTCTTCCTTAAGCATATTGACTGCTTTACCATCATGGTAGTCATTGATTTCTAACACTCAACGAAACAAAATAGCATATATTCAATTTTACCAATTTTAATGCAAATAGAAACATTTTAACCGGTGATTTGTCCCTCTTCTTGATTCTTTTCTCTAATCAATTGAGAATTTGATCAATTAATGCTGGATGAATTAGTAGAAAAATTGGACTTAGTGTCACAAGGAGTCTTTCAACAAAACTTTTTAATTAATAGCAGGTTCCATTTTTCGTTCACAAAAAATCGATTGCGGAAAAGTGGGATCGCACAAGCACATAAAATTGATATAAGCATATAAATAACTTCAACTTTGTTAATATAATAATGCTCGTATAATTAACTTTAATTGTAAATTGAATATTGACATTTTGTTAATATATATTGCATGTTTGATTGAAAAATAAATTAGGGCATTTCGTAAATTATAGAACGAATTTTTCATTCGAAATGAAAGTTCGTACTTAGTTCTTCTAGTTCTAGTGGTGTATCTAGTACTTCTAGTTCTAATCTGTATGATTTTTTAATATTATTTAAGTAAATATTAATAAACAATACCACTATCACGGACATTGACCGTTGACAGTAAGCGATCAACGTTCACGATATGCCTAGCAAAACGCGAACCCTAGATTCACCCCTGGTGAAGGTCACATGTGGAGATAAGCAATAAACAAAATTAATGCCCCTCCATCCATGAGTGCCCGATTTTTTATAGTTAGTTCTTATCTATCATACTTAGAACCTTGGAAATACTTGAATTAAAAAAAATATATGGATTGTACTTGCTCGCATGCACATACATCACCTATTTTCAGATTAATTTATGATACAAAGCAAAAAGTAAAATAGTCATTAAAGATTCCAAAAATATTACCAGCATGGTGCCATAACCGTCAGCAACCTTGCATCCAGACATCAGAAATGGTGCTTTTGAATTCTTGTGTACCTGCCAAAAGCAAAATTGAGTATCATGAAAGATCATGGATATGATAACTACCAGGAAATACAGCAGGCAATCAATTGATTCTTACAATTTTGCTCTCCCCTGTCATACTTGATTCATCAATTGAAAGAGAATGACCAGTTATTACAATTCCATCAGCAGGTACCTATCAAAAATGTGAAAACAAGACAATCAGTGGATAAGAATGCAAGATTTATACACAACCCCCACATTCCCAAACGCTTGGCTGCTTCCCTTCAAAACCTGTCTGTTTGGCTGCTGCTTCTTTTTATTATTTCTTCTTCATCTTCATCTTCTTCTTCGCTTTTTATTTATTTTTTTTTTTATTTTTTTATTTTTGGGGTGGGGGGAGAGGGATCTTGACATTTACCTGATCACCAATTTTTAGAGGCACAACATCCCCAACAGCTATGTCAAATATTGAGATACTAACTCTCCTCCCACCTCGAATGACCTGTAAAGAATTATCTGAAATGTAACCAGAAAAGCAAAATGGAGGGAAAATCAATGCAAAGAACATAACGCCAACCTCCATGTGTATATTTTGCTTCTCTTCATTTAAATTTTGGAACTGTAGGGATTGTTTGTAATCACTAACAGCTGCAAAAAGATAAAAATAAGACACATGCTGCAACACTTAAAAGTTCACATTAAGAAGGCAATTGCATAATATTAACATAAGAAATCACAAAACACAAATTTCAGAAAATAATAATAATAGCCCGTTTGAACCACATTAATGTAAAAATGAGAATGAAAAATATAGCTGTTACAGGCCCCACACAAGAGATAGAAAGTCAAATATGGTGACTTGATGTGATGGATAACAGTCATATTTTTCATTTTAATGGGCAAATAATGGAAACAAACGGGGGCATAATAATAATCTCCCTGGATTGAATCCATTTAATCAACTGAGGTAACCATCTGGCTCAAGCATGCAGGCACATAATGTTCATTCAGAGGCACCCCACTAGCAACAACTAGTTCAAAATACATGAACACAGTTTTCTAAGAATTTAAAAACTATATGACATCTCAGATCAACCTAAACTACAAGACACAGATTTCCGTTGAAACAAAATACTGTGAAGAAGCCAGTAAGGGACGTTGAAAAGAACAAAAAATGACAAGGACATTAATAACGTTGCAGAAAAAGTAACTTATTGAGATTATCTGCAAAAACTCCTACTTGAATTACAAAATTTTAGCACATTAATTCAGACAAAGTAGATAATAAATCTAGGAAAAAAGCAAACAAGAATACAGCAGGATTGCACAGAAAATTAATCCAGGCAAATAGCAAAATAACAGGCTACAAATCTTGTACCTGTAAATATAATAACAATAAGGACTGCCATGGCAATGCTTCCTCCATCATACCATCCTTCTTTTATTCCCTTTATAGAGATTACAAGAATTGGGGAAAAAAAGAAAACAACAAATAAAAAAAATCATAAAGATAACAATTACAGTGTTAATAAATAAAAAAATTCAAATACATCTATTTTCTCCATATTTTATTTGAATATGATTAACTCCAATCATAAATAAACGAAACATAAGCTCATGGACATGATACACCATCTAATCATTTAATGCCAGAGTAGTCATAGAAAATTTATAAGATAACTAGTAAAAATTCAATTCTATCCTGAACAGTTTTCAATTCTATCTTATTTTACAAAGCATATTTGGATTAATAATTAGCGGTGCATAGGATCACATTGATGATATAATGTATGTATCCGAAGCAGTTTGGAACCATCAAAGTGTTTCTTTAAAAAGATTGGCCAAGTGAAAATTCGATGCTCATTGGAAAGAGTGAAAGGTCAGAGCGACAGAACCAAGAACATTTATCAATGTTGTACCACTGATAATTAGAAGAAACAACTAGATTGATAAATGACCTCTTCTTAATCTTACCTCAGTCTTTATGCCTAATGCTAAAGAAGCAGCTGCAGCAACCATCAAGATAATGAGAGTTGTGTCTTTACAAGCATCCCAGACAAAGTTCTGTAGGATAAGCAAACAAAACAACTAGTTACACTTTTTCTAATATCGAAAAAATAATATAACTCTGAGGACAATAAAAAGAGCTTCTAAGAAATTGTTCGATACTTACCCAAAAACTTCGACCTTTCTTCCTTGGATACGTGTTCGATCCATAAGCATTCTTTCTGCTTACGAGGTCAATATCGTCTCCAGGTATACCTTTCTCCAAGTCCGATTTTAATTTATCTGCCACTCCTTTAACCTGATGCAAATTAAAAAGAAAAGAAAAGAAAAGAAACCAACCAGTGTGATTATTTTTAGTTCAGCATAGACAGAAAATGAAAAATGATGATGTGATTATAGAGTACTTGCCCCTCCACATTGCTGCAGAAGAGAAAGATCATTTTCCCTGGTCATTGAAACTAGCTCCTCCAAGCTGATATCGAAATTGCCAACACGGGTGGTAGTTGAATGAGGTAACGGCCCTGGAGCTTTTGGTACTAAAAGCAGGAATATAACAGTGTAATTAATAATTATAGATAATAAAATGTAATTGACATTTAAAAAGGAAAATAAATAAAAAGAATTACCATTTTCTTTCACATTATTTTGGAAGCGATTAGCGGCCTGGTAAGATAAAATAATTAATAAACTTCTACAAAATACTCAAATATTTATCACACAATAAAGAATAAGAAATATAAATTACCCGAAGAACTTGAATATGCGATCTAAATTTAGCAAGCGATTGCTTCCGTTCTTCTTCCTTTTTCAAGTCCAGAGTATACCGAAATCGACGAGAAGCATTCAACACAAGTGCAGCTTGCTGAAATGGACAATATCAATTTTACATCAAAACATACCTTAAATAATGTAAATAAGCTTAAAAAAACCTAAAATAATGCATCATCATGATGCCAAAGCACAGTGTCCCATTAATGCAGATTTATATCGTCTCACAAGCAGATCCAAATTGTAACAACGGATTAGTGCAAATAACGTAGCAGTTTGAACAGCCGGGAAAAATAATATTTGACAAGAAAATCAACTATCTTATATCACTGGGATTTTCAAAAGAACTGCAATGGTCGAGCTTCATTTGATTGTAGATGAGTTCTTGAATAATCTTTCATCAAAGCATATTGAAAAAACAACCATTTATTTTTAAACTGCATGAATAATAGAAAAAAGCCTATGGGATCATTTTTTTTAATGCTAACCCAACACCACCATTGAACTTGTTCGATTATAACAAGCCAATAGGTGACTGTGAAGCAATTTCAGATCTTTTAGTTAAGGGCAAAAATGATCAATTTTTTTATGAAGACCACACACCTCCTTGAAGATCTAAAGGTGGTTTAATTAAATCCTCTCATCAAGGCCGGTAAAAAAATTCTAACCGATTGGAGGCCATTGCAGATCATTACACACGCACATATCAACCAGGAGGATATGTAGCAAAGACAATCTCCTCAAACCTTACAGAGCCATTTATTAGCATAGACATGTCGACCATTACTCATGCACGAGTTTATTAGAGTAGGATATGAATTTTCTAAGACAATCTCCTCAAACCATATTGAGTCAATTTATTAAACAAACTGGTCAAACTCTATTTCTGTAGTTAACCATACAAACAAATAATACCACCTGAACTTTTAGGAAAGAAGTCAATACTAGGCCAGCTTGATAAAGCAAAACGAACATGTGTGGATACCTTCCCCAACCCAGAAACTGACTCTGGAATAATCAACCAACAAATAGGACAGAAATCGAACCAAAAAAGCCAACGCAATAATCATTTAATGAGGCAGTATTTCTTCCACACAGTTATTGCAATGACAATTATCTAAGGCTATGTTTGATAGCCATTTATTTTCCATGGAACTTGGAAAATCAATTCCATCTTCCACTTTTCCATTGTTTGATGGTCTTTATTTTCCCGAGAATTCATTTTCCACATTTCTTGCCTTCTACCACCTTTTCCTTAAATTGGAATTCTCACCAATATGGTGAAAATTCCAATTTCCAACTACTGTAGAGTTTTTTCTTTTTCAATTTTTTTTTTGGCAATGGAAACAAATTTTAAAAATTATTGTAAAAAAATATTTTCCTTTACTTGACAATTTTCGTGTAAAACAAAGTCAGACGAACAACAAAGGATAGATGATTTTCTTAAATTTTTGTTTTTTTTTTTTTTTAACAATAGTAACAAATTTCATTCCCAATACCAGTAAAATCTATCCCTTTAATTGACAATTTTAATGTAAAACAAAGCCAAACGAACACAAAGAAACACTTTTATTTCAACATTTTCCACGTGAAAAATTATACCAATCAAACACAATAATTTACAATTTTCAGGAAAACAATTTTTAGGCAATTCAATTCCCTGGAATTCGTTTTCAATTCAATTTTATCTTTGCAATCAAACGGACCCTAAGAGATCAAAAGTATTTTCACATTGAAAAAAATTATAATTTAGAATTTATAGATTACATCTAATTTTCTTTTAAAGATGATTCCCGCACCCTACTACTTCTAAGCAATTATTTGATGCATTGCTAAAGTAAGTAACAATCATAAAGGAAAGAATAAAGATGGCACTTCACATATACAAGACTTTGCAAAGTAAAAGTAGAAGCCAGATAATTTAAAATCGGTAATTTCATCAATTTACACTTCTATTTTTTATTCCACTGCAAGAGACAAATTTCTATATGTAAAGCCCATTCCACCAAAATCATAGAAGCTAACAAATTTATACGAATATTACCATAGAGATTAAAATAGACCGATATATTTTTAAATCCAAAAGGAAAATAAAATTTGGACACGATATATTTTTCTCGGAAAATGCTGGCTGTACATCCCATTTATATAATCCTAAATCTTTTATAGATTAATGAGGTGTCAAACAGAAAGGGAGGATACATTATATGTCGGTAAATAAATCTGTAAATTGTGATGTACATGTAGCACATCCGATTTTTCTCCCTTGAAGAATAATGCTGTCTGACAGCCTTACACCCCCTCACATGGAGGGGGCGTAGCATTGACAGGAATAAAATCACAGTACATAAAACTATGCAATAATCAGGAAAGAAATCAAAATAACAACAAATATTAACTTCATTGTATCATTTTGATTAATAAGGAAATTTATTCTGCAAATAAACAGCAAGTTCATAATAAAATTACAATAAAAAATCGTAAGAACTGTAAAAAAGGGAAAACGAAAGTTGTGATAAACTTACCCTCCACCTACGCAACCGTTCGAGTGAAGCACTTTTGGTTCTAGGTATATCAAACGTTCCAGAACCCGCTTCATCATCTTCATAGAAGTCGGGGCGACTGGCACCAGCTTCAGGATCATTCTGGTAACGCCTGTACGGCGACGTTTTGTATTCTTCGTTGCTCATTTTCGATTTCCTGTCAAATACGCACGAGAGATGAAAACCGATTAGATATCACCGTAAAATCACATCAAATAGAAGCACATTACTCCCAGAAATGATTCTCAACGAGAATAACTCGAACTTTTTTTCACCTTTTTGCTTATTTTTCACTTAAAGAGCGATTCATTAAGAGACAAAATCCACCGACCATGAATTCTTAAAACATTTAATGCACGAACATTTAAGTTTTTGTTCAGCATATAATATTATTGTATTTGAAACAAAGAGACACCTGAACGGAAAATGTAAAACTGCACGGCCTCCAGCGTAGAGAGAGAGGAAGAGAATTCAGAATCACGAGGATTGCATGTGGATACGGTTTTTACTTTGATATTTCTTCTTATTCTTGAAATGTAACCGTTCTATATCAACTTTGTATATATTTGTTAAGGAAAAATTAATTTTGTACCAAAATTAAAACAAGAAAGTAGCGTGGGAATACGAATATTATTATTGGATATTATTTATGGGAATAACTTTATATTTCTTTAAAAAAGTAAAGTGGTGCATTCATTAAGAATATTGTGAGGATATTGCTTCGAAATTTCGTTCGGGAACTTTAAAAACTAGGTTCGATTCCTAACTTTTTGTGCAATCAGTTTAAATTTGTAAATTTATCGACGTTTAAATCATATAAAAGTCGCGTGTGATTATTTTAAACACGTGATAACCTATCTCAATTTTGAAGATCGAAACTCATAATCACAACACAAAAAATAAAGTTTGAAACCCAAACCCTAATTTTTTGTCAAGATTTTTGTCGTTATAATTCATTAAAAAAATAATAGTGAAGGAAAACATTCTTATAATTATAATACTTTAATACATATTTGATTGGTAATTAAATAATTATAAAATTTGAATTCTACTAAATGTGTTAATAATAAATAAGTAATAACGATAAATTCTATAAAATACTTTTTTGCTTATTTTTCACTTAAAGAGCGATTCATTAAGAGACAAAATTCACCGACCATGAATTCTTAAAACATTTAATGCACGAACATTTAAGTTTTTGTTCAGCATATAATATTATTGTATTTGAAACAAAGAGACACCTGAACGGAAAATGTAAAACTGCACCGTCTCCAACGTTGAGAGGGATGAAGAGAATTCAGAATCACGAGGATTGCATGTGGATACGGTTTTTACTTTGATATTTCTTCTTATTCTTGAAATGTAACCGTTCTATATCAACTTTGTATACATTTGTCAGTAATTAAAGAAAAATTAATTTTGTAGCAAAATTAAAACAAGAAAGTAAATAAAGCGTGGGAATACGAATATTATTATTGGATATTATATATGGGAATAACTTTATATATTTCTTTAAAAAAGTAAAGTGGTGCATTCATTAAGAATATTGTGAGGATATTGCTTCGAAATTTCATTCGAGAATTTTAAAAACTAGGTTCGATTCCTAACTTTTTGTGCAATCAGTTCAAATTTGTAAATTTATCGACGTTTAAATCATATAAAAGTCGCGTGTGATTATTTTAAACACGTGATAACCTATCTCAATTTTTAATTGTGTAAATATGGTTGGTAGGGCATGAAAAAGTGGTTCTCTAGTAGCTGTTTTTAGTCATATAGAATGTGATTCCACAACTAAATTGGGTACATGTCCATGTCGATATATTTCGTGAGAGGAACGAGTATTGATTAAACAAGAAAATAAACATTTAAAGTAATTTGAAGGACGAATAACATAACCTAAATTTTAAATTTGTTAATCAAAATTAACCGTTCATATTCTCTACACTCTTACTCATCCTCAAAAATAAAATACTAAGCCCCTATTTGCCCCCCATTTTTGGTAAATGAAAATTGATGGAATAATATTTTTTTAATAAAATGAGTGGTTAAAAAAGAAGAAATTTTTTTCGATTTACGTGTAATATTATTTTATTGAAAATTGTGTGGTTGAAAATAGGAGAAAAAAATAAAATGTAATAGAATCAAAATTAATGAGATTCAGACGGGGTTAATTCACACTGTACAATCTCATATTTGTAGGTTACACGTCACATTTTGCAACTGACTAGAAAAATTCAATTGTGTATATCATCTTAACAAGAACAAGAAATATGCGAATCCCATTTTTTGATCTTTACCAAAGTAGAAAAATGCACATTTAAAAAGAAAAAGATGAACTAGCATATCGACATTCTTTATTCTTCTTTAGCGTTGATATTTATTGTTGGCATTTTAGTAACTTCGACTAGACAATATTATGCCATGCTAACAAATAAAAAAGACGAAAGAAAGAAATGAAAAATTATGTGATACATACCAGGAAAAAGAAAACCCTGCTCTCACTGTGTTCTGGAAATAGCTTGAGAGGGAACTTATACTGTGAATCAAACACAAAAACTAAATATCTAATTATATTGCCTAATCTCCTTTCCTTTCAAAAGATGACAACTAATTTTGCTATAATATTGCAAAAAGAAATGAAAATCTAAAGTGCATATTTTAGGAATAATTTTGTCCATATTTTCATAATGACAATTAATTTAATTATTACCATGTTAAGAACGCATGCATTTGAACATCGAAAATTTGTGTAAATATGGTTGGTAGGGCATGAAAAAGTGGTTCTCTAGTAGCTGTTTTTAGTCATATAGAATGTGATTCCACAACTAAATTGGTTACATGTCCATGTCGATATATTTCGTGAGAGGAACGAGTATTGATTGAACAAGAAAATAAACGCGTAAAGTAATTTGACAGACGAATAACATAATCTAAATTTTAAATTTGTTAATCAAAATTAATCGTTCATATTCTCTACACTCTTACTCATCCTCAAAAATAAAATACTAAGCCCCTATTTGCCCCCCATTTTTGGTAAATGAAAATTGATGGAATAATATTTTTTTAATAAAATGAGTGGTTAAAAAAGAAGAAATTTTTTTTGATTTACGTGTAATATTATTTTATTGAAAATTGTGTGGTTAAAAATAGGAGAAAAAAATAAAATGTAATAGAATCAAAATTAATGAGATTCATACGGGGGCTAATTCACACTGTACAATCTTATATTTGTAGGTTACACGTCACATTTTGCAACTGACTAGAAAAATTCAATTGTGTATATCATCTTAACAAGAACAAGAAATATGCGAATCCCATTTTTTGATCTTTACCAAAGTAGAAAAATGCACATTTAAAAAGAAAAAGATGAACTAGCATATCGACATTCTTTATTCTTCTTTAGCGTTGATATTTACTGTTGGCATTTTAGTAACTTCGACTAGACAATATTATGCCATGCTAACAAATAAAAAAGACAAAAGAAAGAAATGAAAAATTATGTGATACATACCAGGAAAAAGAAAACCCTGCTCTCACTGTGTTCTGGAAATAGCTTGAGAGGGAACTTATACTGTGAATCAAACACAAAAACTAAATATCTAATTATATTGCCTAATCTCCTTTCCTTTCAAAAGATGACAACTAATTTTGCTATAATATTGCAAAAAGAAATGAAAATCTAAAGTGCATATTTTAGGAATAATTTTGTCCATATTTTCATAATGACAATTAATTTAATTATTACCATGTTAAGAACGCATGCATTTGAACATCGAAAATTCAAAATAATTATAAACATTTTTTTTTTTTTTGGGAACAGCTGAAAAGTAATTAGAATTACAAATTAAAAAGAAAATTCAAAATTTAAATTCAGGAGGGAATAGGAACTAATACCTCTCTTAATTATTTCTTCATTTTCAATTCAGCTCGGAGTCTTCTTCCGCACTGCTTTGGAATAATTGAATTACACGTAAAGAATAATTTTTTGAAAATGTAGGAAAAGAAAAAGCTCATCTTTTTCAAGACGCCATGATTACTATTTTTGGTAATTACTTCCACCTAAAGCAATTAGAAGGCAAATAATTTACTTATATATAATTAACTTTTTCAGGATTGTTCTCCTACACACTACTGGGCAGGAGAACGATCTACAACCTTTGGTTGTTTTTTGACTTTCTGTTTTCCCCTTTTTGACCCCACTCCCACCCCGCCTTGCCTTTATCACCGACCCATTATATATAAAGGTTGAACCCCAATTTTGAAGGTTCCCACTCTTCCGTCACTAGAGCTTTGTAAGAGAAGTAAATCGCGGGATGTGTCCCAATAGGCTAGGAAACAATAGCTGTTTGTATACTGCACCTACAAAGAGTTCAATTTCACATCTCAGGAATCGAACCTGCACACTACAGCTGCCAACAAGACGTGAGAAAACCTCACTTCTATTTTTTGCACCACTGGACTATGTCCTGAGGACAAAAAAAAATGTGTATGCCGACCTATTATATATACAATCATGCTATATATATATGAAGATGGGAAAAAAGGCATTCAATGTTAGAGTCCGTATAAAAATTTTCTTATACTTTGAGCTTTATTATTATATATAAACATTTTTTCTTGTTTTTTCTCAATAATTTTTCATGGGTCATTATGAAATGTGAAATGAAGTCAAAATATTACATTATTAATATCATTTTAAAAGTGCTCATGGTCCAATTTCTAACATCGTTTACGAAGCACGAAACGACCCGGAAAAGAAGATTCTGATGACAAGGAAAGGTCGAACACGTCAAAATACACTCCCTCAGATATCAGATATCAGATATGTACTTGTTTCAATCCTTGCCTTCCTTTTCGACGTGGAAAAAGAGCAGAATATATGCGGTCGGTGCATTGATCTTGGAAACAAATAGAAGATTCTGATGACAGGGACAGGTGGAAACCCATACACATAAGGTTCATGAAACTTTATGATTTAGGAAAAACCAGAAAGAAGAAAGAGAGAACCGAAATTCTTTAATATTGATTCTTTTCCACTAATTGATTCACATTTGGGACAGCGAAAATGAGTCTTCACCTTTCTTTTATTCCCAATGGACCTAAAGCTCACTCAGTTATAAAGGACTTTGAAGGTTCTCGATGATACTTTAGAATTGTATATTACGGGGAGGCATAATTCTGAGTAAATCCTACCATGTATTGTCGAGCCAAATATTTTATGAGGCTCAGATATGAAAATGAATATATTTCTCAAATCTTTTGGAGATTTAGATCGTGATCTGGATTGTTGAAATTTTCGGACATTAAGTTTTGAATCCGAATGTTGAAAAATCATGAATTCTAATCATATCAATTTTGTGATTTTAAATCACCAAATGATAATTTTACCACTTTTAACGCAATGAAATTAGATGATTTTTCTGGACATAATTGAAGGTTAAATTTGTTTGACAGCTGATGCTCTGTAGAATTTAGATTCATAATCATTTTGTCACCACTTATATCCATATTTATTATTACGTTCAATTTTCACATTTCATTTACCCTTTTTCATATGAGTAATGTT